AAATTATATCAGAGCTTAGGCAACTTTCTCAAACTCTCATAAATGAGTTTTAGGGGGACCCTTCCCCTCCCCCTTCTTTTTTATGTCTAGAAAAAGAAAAACTGTCACTGCATGTCAACATGTCTGGTTATGCAAGGATGAAATGATAGTATCTCAAGAAATGTCAGCAACTCTGTGGGCAAGGAAATAAATTTTACAAACAAACACACACACACACACGCATGCACACACGCATACACACACACACACACACACCACACCACTTTCAAGAACATCGGGGAAGGACTATGGAAGGTGATCTGTTTTACACACATTAGGACGACAGCAATAAAAGATCAAATGTTACGTTAGAACAAGCTGCCTCTGCTGCTTAGCAGCCTACGTATGCTAGATCCTGGGAATGTAGGGACAATACCCTTTTTCTGTTAGAGGGTACATAATGTCAGGAATACCGTGTTCCTCAGGAGGGTCAACATGCAAGAAAAATTCCATTTTATGCAGCTTAGTTACCGTCTGCGCCCTTGGGAAGGATGTCAGCATCTTGATTCCTGTCCTTTAGAACGCAGAATGTGGAGTCAAGTACAAACTTCATCCAAAGCGTTGTACTGAAACTACAGCCTTATAAGCTTTAGTGTTCTGAAGGAGGCAGACTTAGGACACACTCTGGGCCTTCCCCATGCAGTGACATGTCACAGTACTTCCAGGTGTGGCTCTCTCTCACACACAGGTCTGTGTGTGTGCATGTACATATATACCCCAGACGCGTCAGGAGCTGCTGCCTAATAGTAATTACAATTAGAAGTAACTGAAGTGAGTTAAATGTAAGTTACACTTTGAATGGTTAAAAGAGAATTTGGGACGGATGCAGGCACAGTAAATACAGCGGCAAACAGGACACGGGAATGCATGGGGAATACAGCCCTCAATGCTGAGTCGGGACTGGCGATTCCAGCGGGGCAGCGGGACACCGAACATCTGTCCTTCAATTCTGGGTCCTCTGATATAGAAAAGGTGTCGCTCTGCCTTCCCAGGACCTAGCGTATGCAGACTAGAAACACAAAAAGCAGTGTTTGCTAGACTAACCCTCACAGGAGCAGCCCAGAAGACGATTAAAGAAAGGAACGCCTTCTAACTCTGACGGGACATAATACATTGAGATCTGTTGGACTAAGAACGGGATAACAGCAGCCAAGGTCACAGAAGGATTTCCCCCTCTATATGGAGATGACAGGGTCTACTAAAATTATAGCGCTGAGGACACAGAGAAGACAGAATGGAAGAGTGAGGGTAGTGGCCATGTAACAGTTACCTTGCAGACTCAATCAATGCCCGGAAGCTGCTGTGTCCAAAATGAGCCCATTTGTACACCACCCCCATCTCCCTTAGCTAGGCCGCTCTCTGACCTAGGCTGTGTGCATGTCCACGCTCTAGAAGTGTTGTCTCTGGCTGGCTCAGAGACAACAGCGGTCAGCTGCCACCCCTGCACGGCCTCGCCTCAGGGCTGGCTTCCCCTGCTCTCGGTGGAAAGCTGACCACATGTGTCATGCTGCTGCCTGAAGTCCGAAACCACAATCCCTCACTTCTTTGAGGGCTGGTGAGACCCCTGCAAAGGACTGGGCGGAGGATCATGCAGCAGGGCCCAGCGTGGCCTTTACCTTCTTAGGTCCACATGCGGTCTTGCCAGACGCTGTTCAGAGGCGGGCAGTTACAGTGAGTGGGTACGGCATTAAGGGGCTGAGCTACGTCTGAAAAGAGTCAGGGGACGCCGCTCTTTAATTCTTCCTCCAGTTAAATCGTCTCCTCACGTCATTCACTCAGTCCACAGTCAGTGCAGATTTAGGCTGCACGGACACAAATCCCCAAATCACTCATCCAGTGCTGTTTTCTCCATATATAATATCCAAGCAGGCATCTCTCTATGTGTGTGCACACGTGCGTTGGTGCTACACTCCCCCCCACACCCACACACACCCCCCCAGAGTAGCATGTCATGTAATCAGGTTTCCTTACCATCACTTCCTGTCAAGAAATAGTCTTGCATTGCCACTTTCACATTCCACAGCATGGCCAAACCATAAAGCATCCTTACTGCAAGAGTGTGAGCTGTTCACAGGTTTGCATTCTTGTATTTATTTCAGTAGATGCTGGGCTGGATACTCCCACATCTGAGCTGTTCCGAAGCCGCTCCCATTTTTTCTTTTTCTTTTTTCTTTTTTCTTTTTTTTTTTTTTAGCTGTATCAGGCGCTACACAGCTGTATCAGCAGTCTACGCTAAGACTCACCTGGGGATTGTTAAAAGCTGACAAGCATCGGCAGCCCTCCCTCCCCTCCTATATCAGGTGGCTCTCCTAATCTTTACTGCGGCGGTTAACACACGGAGATTCTGCAACTCCACGCACATTTCTCCCCCATCCCACCCCCCCCCATTACAATTTAGTTTAAGATCAGATGCCATGGACTTGCTTTGAAAAACCCCTTGAAAGTGGTGGTAGGTGAAATTTTCAGGGGGGAAAAATTCTCACAAAAGTTAGGGAGAAAAAAAATGCTCGTGGGAGCTGTTGGAGCCCTTTCCTTGGAGACAAGCCTTGTCAAGAGGCCACGCTCTCCCTTGTGTCCAGCCTTGCTTCCTGAACACAGCAGAGGAGGGCCTTCCCACATAAGTGGGAAGTTTCCTACCCTTATTTCTTTTGCCTCCAAGGTGAGAGAGCCTCTGTGTTTTTGTTCCTACACAATCCACAAAGCCTATGTTTGCCTTTGTTCACACGGTTCTTGATCTCACGGTTCTCTTCTTATTTACTTCTGGTTTAGCTGGACAGACTCAGTTTTCCGCCTCCTCAAGCTGCATGGCCAGCATCTACCTTCAATCTTTCTTTTTATTTCATTTTAAGCATCTCAAAAATTTCCAGTGTGGTGTCTCTTTTAACTCAAAGGTTTTCATTTCCAAATTCACTCTTCGTTGTCTTATTACTGGTTTCTATTTTAGCTGTACTATAGCCAGGCTGTGTAACCTGCTCAGTAAATGCTTTCTGGATGTCTTGAGACTCCTCTGCTGTATGGATGAGTTTGAGACATGTTTATGTCTTTCACTTATACTTTACAAACGTTTAAACCCACCTGTAAAAATCTCCAAAGCCTTTCATTTTCTTCTTCTCCAGGTTATTCAGATCCACGATTGTCCATTATGGTTGTAGACTTGTTATTTTTTTTCCTTAAACTACATCAAATTTTAACAGTCTGGTACATTTCATAATTATTTTTATATACTTCGTGTGGGGGATTGTTTGTTTGTTTGTTGTTTGCTTTTGAGACAGGGTCTCTCTCTGTGTTGGCTGTCCTGGAACTCACTCTGCACCCCAGGTTGACTTGAACTCACAGAGATCCACCTGCCTCTGCCTCCCAAGTGCTGGGATCAAAGGCGTGCATCACCATCGCCCAAAGACTTTGGCAGTAATGCTATATTTCTATTAGTACCGAAGCTGCCTTGACCCCGTCCTCGGTGGGGTTTGGATGGTATTTGTTTTCCCACGGCTTTATTCTGAACCTTTCAATCCATTACATTTTCACTTTCTTCTGCATCTTCTACTTTCCAGTCTCCATTTTCTCGTCTATCAGTTTCATTTTTGGTCTTCGGGAGGCAAGATGCCTCGTCTCACGTAGTTCGGTTTTGCTTTAGGTTTTATTTGTAGACTGTCAAGCAGCACACACCGCAGCAGAGCTGGGGGCCAGTGAGCATCCCTCTTCTCAGGCTGGCAAAGGAGGGAACAGAGCCCAGCCCACCAAGCAGCAGAGGCGCACAAGGGTGGGTCTGGAGGCGGAGCTCTCAGGCGGTCTTCACAGAGGACTTCTCATTTAAAAGGCAGCAGCAGCAGCAGCAGCAAAAGAGGCACCCAAAGGCTGCCTTAACCCTGGTGACTTCCGCGTGATTTCATTATTATTGTTGTTGTTATTTAAAATGGAATGGCAGAACTTATTGCTCAGTTAGCCTTTATTGCTATTCACTCTTTTACGTGGAATTTTACTGTCTGAATTCCAAGTTAGGGCTTAAAAAAAAAAAAAAATCTGTCTTAGCTTTATTTATGACCAAGGAGAAAAATTTCAACAATTCAAAGGTGCAGCGAGGGAGTAGCTTCCTAAACTATGCACTAGCACACTGGAGCGCTGAGGGATACAGATGCAACGCTTCGGGAAAACTGCGGAGTCGACCATCATAACACCCAGGAGTTGAAAGGCACATGACTACACTGCCTCGGAGGTTTGTTTGCTCCTAAGGCACGCCACAAAAAACGTCACATTACGTTACCCTTAGTGGGCTCAACGCATACTGTAAGCCCAGCTTAAAATTTCTTACCTGAAGCAGCTTGAGCTCCCCCATCCCACGCAACCCAACAATCTCACACATGGCGAGAAAGAGATGCTACTGCTGGGCAGCACCGACCCTTCCAACTTGACTGTTTTTTTTTAAATTATTATTATTAATTTTTCATTTTGAGAAAGGGTGTCACTGAGATCTTGTTAGCCTCCACATTGGCTGGTGTCACAGCTATCCAGCACCGTGTTTATCTTCATTTTCTTCTTTTTCTTCCCTTTTAGTTAGGAGTACTATTTCTTTCTCATTTTTTCCCCCCTTAAGCAAGAGTAACTCTCAGTTCCTAGCAGGGCCCAAGAGTATCTCTTATACTTTTCAGCCTCACACCCATGAGATGCTACAGTCACTGCATGTGTCACTGATTTCATTTCCTGGTAGTGATATGCATTTGGAAGACCAAGAAAAAAAAAAAAAAAGAAAAAAGAAAAAAGAAAAAAAAAAAGGCTTAACCTAAATTCAACTTAAAAGCCAAGTTTAATGCCTGTGTAAAATGTGGGGTACTTTACATGATTTTTATTCTTAACCACACAATGATTCAGACCGGGTGGGGGGGGGGATTTCTGCCTAAAGCTGTGCACTTGTTGAAAAAGAAAAAAAAAAAAAAAAAAAATGCAGTTGACCTATTTCGCCGGTAATGTTTCCTTTGCTAGGTAGGGGGTTCTGACGAAGCCACTAACTGTGAAAGCAAACACATAAATGTTTGTCCTCGGTTTGTTCCAGTTGAGATTTACATGCTGAAAATGTTAAAGTGGATGTATAAATGGCTGAAGAGCCGAGCTGAATCGTTTTAGCTAAATGGTCCCTGCTTGCTCTCTTCCTAGTGACACCACCCCACCCCCCCCCCCGACCCCTGCTGGATACAGAAATGGCTGACAACTTTTCTACTACGGCACTGGCGACTTCTCAGGGCAACCGCTGTGACCTCTATGCACACCAGGACACAGCCAGGGTATTAATCCCCTTGCACTACAGCCTCGTCTTCATCATTGGTCTGGTGGGGAACCTGCTGGCTTTGGTCGTCATTGTTCAAAACAGGAAAAAAATCAACTCAACCACCCTCTATTCGATGAACTTGGTGATTTCTGACATCCTCTTTACCACGGCGTTGCCCACTCGGATAGCCTATTATGCGCTGGGTTTTGACTGGCGGGTCGGAGATGCCCTGTGCCGGATAACCGCCCTGCTGTTCTACATTAACACGTACGCGGGCGTGAACTTCATGACCTGCCTGAGCATAGACCGCTTCTTTGCAGTGGTGCATCCTCTGCGCTACAACAAGATTAAAAGGATCGAGTACGCAAAGGGCGTCTGCATATCTGTCTGGGTGCTGGTATTCGCCCAAACGCTGCCCCTGCTCACCAGACCCATGTCAAAGCAGGAGGCCGGCAGGACCACTTGCATGGAGTACCCCAACTTCGAAGAGACGGCCTCCCTCCCCTGGATTCTGCTCGGGGCGTGCCTGCTGGGCTACGTGCTGCCCCTTGTGGTCATTCTCATCTGCTACTCCCGCATCTGCTGCAAGCTCTTCAGGACCGCCAGGCGGAACCCGCTGACCGAGAAGTCCGGCGTGAACAGGAAAGCCCTCAATACAATTGTCTTCATCATCGTCGTGTTCGTTCTCTGCTTCACACCTTACCACCTGTCAATCATCCAGCACATGATCAGGACACTCTGCTCCCCCGAGGCCCTGGGGTGTGGCCCGAGGAAGTCCTTCCAGATCTCTCTGCACTTCACCGTGTGCCTGATGAATGTCAACTGCTGCATGGACCCCTTCATCTACTTCTTCGCTTGCAAAGGGTACAAGCGGAAGGTCATGAAGATGCTGCGGCGTCAGGTCAGCGTGTCCATCTCCAGTGCAGTGAGGTCAGCCCCCGAAGAAAACTCACGGGAGATGACGGAGTCGCAGGTCATGATCCACTCCAAGGCGTCCAACGGGAGGTAAGAGGCTGCGCTGGGCTTCGCAGCACAGCAACCCGCACGCCACCCACTGCCCAGCGCCCTCGGGGTGGCTCTGCAGACCCGGCCGACAGACGACTGTTCAGGTCTCAAGGAGGCGTCTCAGCTGCCCCCTCCACGGCGCCGGCACGTTGCGGCTTCCCACAGCCACTCCACCCACCAACGCACCGAGATCAAGAGAACAGCAAAAGCAAGTTCTACTTCAAGAGTGAGATACTGTATATATAGAAGAAGGCCATCCTAGCAAGTCAGGACGTAGAGTTGTTCCGTGTTCCTGAGAACACTATCGTTACAATTTCTGCCAATAGTTGGGTAAAAAAAAAAAAAAAAGACAAAAGTCTGATTCCAATATATGTGTAAAAACACCAATACCAGTGTAAAAAAATATTAATACTGTAATATAAGGAACGTATTTTTTAATTCACACCTCTAGATTCTTACCTGTCTAGTTTTTTTTTTTTTCCGTTTGTTTGATTTGTCCTGTGACAACTGTTCCAAGGAATGTTTCGTGGGACTGACTTATCCCACAAATCAGGATGCAACGAAAGTGTCCATCCATACCCTTCTGCCAACTACCGGCAGAAGTGACAGGTGTAACTAAGGGAAGGCGCCCCTGAAGAGTAAAGACATAACAGCAGGTGATGACCCAGCCACTGAGAGCATCAAAAGAGCCCCTCCCCCAACGGCCAGGACAGCGCTTGTGGACAGCTGCTCAGAAAAAGCATGTCAACATGCTACATTCTTTTTAGGACAGAAAATATGCATACATGCTTTGTTTCCCTTGGGTCTCCAGGGAATGAAAGTTGGTAGTATCTGGTATCTATATACTTTAAGTTAAAAAAGCGCGGGGTGGGGGGGGGCGGTGAGGATTACAACTATAATCGCCATATTTGACTAAATAAATCAGGGTGTAAAACGTACAATTTATAAATTAAGAGTTTTCAGGATTTTTATTGTATTGTATTTCATTTTATTTTACTTTACTGTCTTTAGAGACAGGGCTTCTGTCCTGGAACTCACTCTGTAGACCAGGCTGCCCTTGAACTCAGAGATCCACCTGTCTCTGCCTCCCAAGCACAGCATTAAAGGCCTGTGCCACCCACTGCCTGGCTAGATTTTTGCCATTTAAATTTTTTTAATTTATTATGTGTAAAGATGTTCTGCCTGCATGTAAATCAGTGTGTGAACAGTGCCTGTAGAGGCCAGAAGAAGGTGTCAGATCCCCTGGGACTGGAGTTATAGATGCTTGTGAGCCACCTGAACGTGGGTCCTCCAGAAGGGCAGCCAGTGCTCCTAACCACCGGCCATCTCTACAAAACCCTTTCCTTGTTTGAGACTACGTCAGTCTATCTGGCCTAGAATTCTCTATGCGGGCGTGTGGTCCTTCCTGTTTCCACCTCCCTGGTGCTGGGCGTCACAGTATCTGTCCCGCCTGCCCACGTGGCTACCTTAATGTGGGCAGCACGGCCTTCCTAAACACTGATGCCTGATCAAACTCCGTTCCCCCTAACCCTGAAATTCCCCCAGGACAGTATCTCAGTTGATAATGATGCCAATTTAGATAATAGCAAAGAAACAAAACACTATACAGTGAGTCATAATTTCAACCTTTTATTGTGGTGCATGCCCTGGAAATACTTCATTTTAATAAAATTGACTTGCCTTGTCTTTTGAGACAGAGGCCCATATATATAGCCCAGACTGGCCCTGAACCCATTATGTGTCCCAGGCAGGTCTTCAATAAAAGCCCTTCCTCAGGCACATGCTTGTAACCCCAACCCTTGGGAGGCTGAGGCAGAGTGACAGCTGCGAGCCAGAGCTCAGCCTGTGCTAGGGTCACATCCATAGCAGAGCAAGGCCCTGCTTCAAGAGAGAAATAAAGCTTCTGCTGTTAGCCTCCTGAGTGCTGAATTACTACAGCTTGGAAAGTAAATTTTAATCATCACTACTTTAACTATATTGAGTATAGTTAAGGTCCAAATTATGTTAATTCCACAGAGCCATCTGGTCTTAAAGCCACTGAAGGGCGGGTCTGATGGAGGCCGGTGGAAGTGGCTATGTTAGGATGGGGGAGTCCTTTATTGCATGCTCCTTTCCTGGTCTTGGGGCTGTTGCCCTTACCCCCTGGAAATGCAAGATCGTGCGCGATCAGGCCTGTGCTTCTATCTCTAGCTTTGCAGTGCCGATCGGGTAAGTCACGTCCTTAGTTGTCACAGAGTACAAAAGTTATTCAGCACTTCCCTTAAGCACCAGGAAAAGTAAGGCGAGGGGTGCATGCCCCAGGTCATGTGTGAACAACTGCCTGATGCCTGGAAAGTGCACTGGCAGCCTTGGGATGGAGAGAGCCGACGGCCCTTTTGATTGATTGGAACCCCGTGGCCGCTCATTTTTAAATCTCAACAGACTAAGAATGAATATTCTTCGTCGTGGACCAACACACCGTGTTCACAAGCATTTAATCACACCCGTGTGCAGCTGCTATGTATACTCCTCAGCGTGCGAATGAGGAGGCCAGACACCAAGGGCACATAAAGGATGGGGCCAGGGTTTAGGCTCGACCTCACGACTCTGTACAGAGGCCTGGCTGGAGACAGTCCACACGGATGCCTGCTGAGCATGCTCTCACCAGGGAGGGGCCACTCCAGTGCCTTCTCTGGGTCGGGCCCCAGGCTCCACTTCCTGTGGCTGTCTGTGCTAAGGATCTTCTTCCTCCATTACCATATCTGAGCCTCAGTGCATTTCTCAGAGCAGCCTCAAGTCTTCTCTGCGGATTCCACAGGTGCTGTCTTCATCACCTACCGAGGCAGGCACCCTCCTCCACCTGTGAGACTTACGTGGTGAAGACGGCCTGGCTGGGGTTTTCTCCTCTTGGGCGCCTCTGTTCATCTCTCAGAGGCCCACATCACACCCACGTAACTGCTGCCTCTTCTGCCTGAGCCTCAGCTAGGGTCAGCAACTGCGGATTTCTTTAGGATGGCGCCCAGAGAACCAGCCACCCACACTAACAGCCACCTAGCCCACCCACTACTACACAGCACAATGCACCTCCGAGCCCCACACTCGGCCTGTGGGGACTGGAGTGAGTGTGTCCATACGGGGGAGGAGGGGTGGAAACGAGGACCTCGGGCGTGCTAGGCAAGTGTTCTAGCACTGAGCCACACCCTAACGTCCAATGTACTGCTTAGCAGCCCTGGCCTGCCCACTACAGAACTCGCCTGCCCGGGGAAGCCGGGAAGTGCACAAACCTCATTCAGTGGGGAGCAGGCTGAGCTCTGGGCCTCACTTTCTCCAAGGACAAACAGACATGCCCCTCAGAGGGCCTTCAAATTGACTGCCAGTGTCTCTGCGCGTGTGTGCCCGGCGGGGTGTGTGTGTGTGCGTGCGTGTGTGATCAGGTTTGGCCCACAAGCTGGGGGAAAGTGGAATGCCAATTCTGGGTTTAGGTGTGAGCGAAGAGTGAGACGTGTTCTTGCTGTCCGTCCATCTTGCCACAGAGGGGCCCTGAGTGGGACGGGACTCCACTTAGGCCCAACCTACCTGTGCTGTTCAGACACAAGAAATCCACATGAGCGCTTAAGCCCCAGGACTCCAGGTACATTTGTCACAGCAGCACAGGCCAGCCTAGTGCTGTTAACTCAGTGCTGAACCTGCTTGGACACCGGCAGATAAGGAAAGCAAAGTGTGGTCACTATCCAGTTCTGGCGTACACACAGGCTCTCCCTTAATCTCACTTCCGCGGGGGTCTTTAGTTCCGTGGAGAAGTTCCACACCACGTCAAAGCCCGAGTTCTCCTCCCACATTCTCAAGTGCTCCCAACCCAATTCCCCTTCTCTGCTCAGGACTCACCTCCCGAGTCTGCTTCAGGTGCATTTGCTGGCTGTGTTTATTATGCGGCTTCTTCCACTCATTGTTGAAGTCTTAGATACCAACCATAACTCTTCTTCTAATGTGCGACTGCTCCAAATCACCCACCTTCCCCTCTTGAACGTATTTAACTTTTACAGTCTATGCCACACAGGTGGAACTTGTTGCACAATATTTTAAAACGTCACGCTAGCCCGGAGACCTAAACTTTCGGGTCTAGCTGGCTGCTAGCCAGACCTTTCCAACTTTGCCCAGTATTGAGCCTTTCTATATCTGTGAGCCTCTTTGTCAAGTGAGTAAGAGACGGCCAACGTGTAAGTCTGTCCAGCCATCACTGCCTGTGAACGACCATTAGTTCGTTCTTGTAACTTTCAGCTAAAACATTAGGCTGGTCTTTGCTGCTCTGTGTTCGGGGAGGCTCTGAGCACAGACAATGCTCAAAAGCCAAGGTTACTACAAGCCATCACACCACAGCTACCTGCTTTGCATGACCAAAGCCGGGTGGATGTGAGGGTTAATGATGCGTGGGGCAGCAACAGGTGAGTGGAACACGCTCTGCACTGGGCTGACAATCTCGTCAACACACCAGATGAGAAGCCAGAAGGACACATGAGAGGTCCTTTTCCTTTCTGCTGACAGTGTGAGAAACGCTTCCTTCCACACAAGCAAAGGGACATGGCGCTTGCACGCATTTATCTCTGATAACACAGACTCAAACTCAGCCGGTCTCTGCAGGCAGCGGTTGTCAGGAAGCAGAGGACAATGCGACAGGAAACACAAAGCGCCGTTTAGTTCATTCGGTTCCAACTGTCTGCTTTTCCCCGGGACTCCCAAGCCCCTCTCTCTCCACCGCCACACACACACACGTGTGCATCGTTGCTTTTTAGATGTCCTGGCCTTTTCTTCCTAGCAACATCAGCTCAAGGTCTTGTTATGAGAACAACCTGTAAGCCACTCTGGGGCCGGCACCCCATTACTTTCTGCCCCACATGGGAACTACTACAATCAATTCAAAACAAAAACTCTCGGTACGCTTTGATTGACTTCTTACTTTTCCGTGTTCTCAGGGAGTGTGAGATATATTTCTGGCTTCTGTAGTTGTAAGAATGAATTTTCCCATGCAGGTTGTGTGTGGGAGAAGTCTATCAAAATGAAACTGCACACTACAAAAGCCTAGAATCTTCTAAAAGTAACATTCTCATGTGTTTGTGATGACAGCCGCACAGCCTGTCCCTCAGTCCTGGAGCCGCCCAGAGTGGGTGCTTTAAAGGCAGAAAAAACAGCTCTATCATCTCACACTGACCTAAGACACCTGCCTACTCCCCTCCCTCGGTGGGGAGTCCCTAGGCGCTTGGTGTCCACAGAGTCCCAAACTGGTAAACCCAGCGCAGACACATTTAGGAGACATGCTGGCCTTGGTATGCAGAATTTAGGAAACAAATACAGGGAAAAAAATGAGACATCGTCTGATTATGTGTTGTCAAACTATCTGAAGCTGTGTGTTTGGCATTTTTTGCAATAAAATTCTAACTATGCTAAGTATAGTCTCTAACACTTTCCCATAGTTTTATTACAGCAAGAATGGAAGCTGAGGGCTGGAAAGGTGGCTCAGAGGTTAAGAGCACTCACTGGCTGCTCTTCCAGGGGACCTGAGTTCAATTCCCAGCAACCGCATGGTGGCTCAGAACCATCTACAATGAGATCTGGAGCCCTCCTCTGGCCTGCAGGCAGAACACTGTGTACATAAAAAAAGAATGAATGAGTGAATGAATGAATGAATGAATGAATGAAAATCTAAAAACAAAAAGAACGGCAGCTGAACTCAGGGACAGTTGAAGATGGAGAGGGGAGACAAGGAAGCAAAGAGGGGAGGGGTCAGAGGTCACTGAACAGCAGCAGCACAGACCATGAGAGAGAGGACGCAGTTTCGCTTTCATTCCCAGGTCCCACGTGAGGGCAGACTCGACAGACAGACCTTCGCAAAGCCCTAACTAGGAGGAAGATGATGGGGACTCAGAAGAGGTTATTAACGCCAGAGACCCACATG